AGGCGGGGAGGGAGGCAGCCCCCAGCCTCGCCAGGACCCTCGCTTCGCCCTGCACCTCCAGCCCTCTCCTCTCCACGGGTTCCCCTTACGGCTCCCTCCCTTTGCTCCTTCTCCCGGGGAGCCTCAAGGCGGGGGCGAGCAGGTACCTGTCGGGGGTTCGCACCAGCCTGCGACGTCCAGGCCCTGCGGCTTGGCGCAGACGTCTTCAGCCCGGCTCCGGGTAGCGGGTCTGAAGCGGGAGGTAAGGCAGGGTAGCAGGGCCAGCACTGATAAGAAGTTGAACCGGCGAGGAGACCCACAAATGGGACGCCTTGTCTAAATAAACAGCCACTTGTTTGCTAAGTGGAAAGCGTTTAGTGCTGGCAGTGCTACGCAGAGAGCTACTGACATTCCCCTTTGGGTCTGAGTGGAGAAAAAGGGAAAATCAACAAAGCTGGAACAGAAGGAATGGGTAGAAGAGAATACATTGAAACAAATATATTTTAATTTCTTTTATTCTCCTTTTCTCCTCTCCGCATATTGTATACGTGCTGCTTCTCTGTTTAACAACCCACTACTCTAAGCTCATATTCCACTGTTAAAAACATTCTGTAGGTAGTTCTGCTCCAGGTTTTGTTAGAATGAAGTTGTCCTTTATCACTTTTCAACTATATTCAAACTATATTCAACTATAGTTTGCCTTTCTCCTTTGGAGCTAGCTATCTTGCTGCTCTTGCAGTTGGCTAGAAACCACAGCTTGGTTTCCCATTCTTCATTATTATCTGCCAGACAATAATTCTGCAGTCTTGGGAGAGACACTGTAATTCCTCTGTTCCTCAGTTCCCAATCTGCAAAATGAAGGTGCTAAAATGTCCTTCCTGCCCGTCCCCCCCCCCCCCCCCCCCCTTTTCCCTTTAGACACCAAATTCTTCAGAACAGGGAATTTACACCTACCCAGTGAATCAATAGACACTTGTACAAAAATACAGACACCTGTAGAAATCTAAATTTATGTATCTTCATATCGAAATGGATCCCTCTAAGAGTTTTAGCTACAAACTAACTCTTAAATGCCCGGAACTCTTCTGAGTAAAAAACAGTCGCTGAGTACTCCAAACACTAGAGTAAATAACTACAGTGAATGACTAAAGTAATAGCTGCCAATTTAAGCAATTGTATAAGCTACAGTGCACTGGATTCTAAAATCACAGAGGCCAGTTTGTTTCATGTAGACTTGCCGCCATATGCCCCCATGTACTGCTGAGGAAACAAAAGACCCATCCATAGGATGTCATTAGATCTGGAGAAGCCCTTTCTTAGGTTGAATTACCTTCAGTCATAGATTATGCCACTCGGCTCTTTATTTCGCAAAAGCACCTCCTCCTTTTTGCGGGCACAGTTTCCAGGTGGGCTTGAAATAAACACACTCTGAAATAATCCTTACAAAGGAGCAGGAGCTGCTAATTGGCTGTTTAATCAGTCCTACTTTGACTATTCATTTTCAGCCACTGGTTCTGAAGATCTGTCTTAACAGTGGGCAGACAGCACAGAGTTTTTGTGCTGCAGATCCTAATCAGATGCGTAAATCTTCTGTCGTGTTAGTACCTACAAAATAGGTAAATGGTCATCCAGCAAAACATCCTTTCTTAAAAAGTTCCTGGGTCTGTAACTTTGTATTGTCTTATATATATAGTCATTTTCATTTGTAAAGTATATGGCAGCCTTTTTTTCTCTGTCATCTGAATAAATAGTGAGTAATATCACAATTAGAAAGAACTTTTGGAGACAGTCCCAAGACTAAAATGTTGTCATAATGAGCCAAAATTGTCCCTTTGGATGGGCCAGCTGCACATTCCTCAATGTCAAGGGGCAGGAGCCGTTGCTATCAATCAGTCTCCCAGGCTGACTGACAGAAGCAGCCTAAAAGGGTGTTTCAGGCTGGAAATCACTGATCTCACAACCAACCCTGCACAGATCTGAGAACTGGCAGGAATATGCACAACTGGGAAAGGATTAGCACCAGCTTCATTCACCTTCTTATGGTAAGCACATGAGGCCTCTTCTGTGTCTCTGAGGCACACTAGATGCTATTGGGCCTGTCAGTTATGAAGTATTAAGTGTTGCTTCATCTTTATCAACATGCATCCAGAAAGTGTTCCCTACAGCAATGCTGATATCACAGATACGCATCATTTCCAGAAGGGATGGCATCACCTCTAAACAGTAGTGGCTCTTTAAGATTAAGAGCAATATTTGATATTTCATTTCTTATTTCTCAGATGTATCACTGGAAACATTTCATTTCTCCGGATAGGGTCTGGACAAGTCCTGAGGGAATATTTCATGCCTCTTGTAGATGATGTTTAAGGATTTAAACAGTGCTGGAAATTCCTCAAATTCCATATGACCTTGCCTGAACATAAAGGAACAGGCTGCCCAGGGAAGTGGTTGAGTCCCCATCCCTGGAAGTATTTAAAAGACGGGTAGATGAGGTGCTTAGGGACATGGTTTAGTGGGCATGGTGGTGTTGGGTTGACGGTTGGACTCGATGATCTTGGAGGTCTCTTCCAACCTTAATGATTCTATGATTCTATTCTATGATTCTATGAAAAAAAAGGAGACTTGATCTAGGAGATGCTGTGTCCTTCAATACATAAGGAAAACACTCCCGTCAGGTGTTCAGCAGCTAGTTTGATAAGGCCTGAAATCAGTGTCTGAAACTTAATTATAAAGAAAATTAAGACAAATGGTTACAAATTAGAGGTTGTGTTACCATGGGAATGTTGATGAAAGAGCTACACCCCAATTGACTTGTCTTTTCTTAGCAAGGCAATTTAATTTTCTACTGATAAGCCAGAGGTGGTGCTGATTTAAAATTCTTTACCTTGAAACCTCCACATCAGTCTTCAGTTTCAGAACTTTTTAATGCAATTAACATGGCCTTTAGGTTCAGTGCACTCAGGGAAGCAGATAAAGACATAAATGTTGGGGTTGCTTTCAAGAAATGATGCATCTGTGAAGTAAAACAAAGACGGTGAAGAGTACTGTATTATGAAATAAAATCTCATTTGTTACCTAACAGTTGTGTAGCTGTCAAATCTCCTTCACATAGGCTATTCATAGGAATTCCTGTGTAGTCTCTAGCTTGACAAAATTGCAGTCCAAATAAAATGCTGTTTCCTCTGAATATTATACTGTCTTCCTTTCTGTAATTTATTATGGATCTCAGAACTGCAGTCATTTCTATATATCTATGGACAGATGTCATATATAGCTATGATTGATGTTATAATCCCAGCCAGCATGGATTCATGAGAGGCAGGTCCTGCTTGACTAACCTGATCTCCTTCTATGACCAGGTGACCCGCCTAGTGGATGAGGGAAAGGCTGTGGATGTGGTCTACCTGGACTTCAGTAAGGCCTTTGACACCATCTCCCACAGCATTCTCCTTGAGAAGGTGGCGGCTCACGGCTTAGACAGGTGTACCCCCTTTGCTGGGTAAAAAACTGTCTGGACGGCCGGGCCCAGAGAGTTGTGGTGAATGGAGTTCAATCCAGTTGGCGGCCGGTCACGAGCGGTGTTCCCCAGGGCTCAGTTTTGGGGCCAGTCTTGTTCAATATCTTTATCAATGAT